CTTTTAATGGCCATGGGGTGTAGATTGGCCTGAGCAAATGTGGTGCCGGTGGAACGAAAGCCTTCGGAGGAGTTAGCGAAATTCCAATGTGTGCGGATCGGCAAAAAATGCGAAATAACCCTTTAACCGTAATTTTGACAGATACGGCCGCACTGACTTTTTTGTAGATCTTATTGAGATACATATGTGTGTCAATTTTTGTGTCAATATGACAAAGCGTACAGGCGTGACAGTCAATAGTGTGAATTTCCACCTTAGGGGGCGCTATGGAGCCATTTTGCATTTTATTGTTTGGGCGACTTCAGAATATCGAATTTTTCACCAGGCCCGGTCGTCCTGCCAAATTTCATGAGTTTTCGCCAGTGGGAAGTGGGCCATTTTCCAGTTCAAAGGGGAGGAAAAAGAAGAAAGAAAGAAAGAACTAGGGCCCCGTTGGGGCACTGGCGGGCCCGAGCCGTGTCACGCCGCCCCCAGCGCGACCGCCTCCCCCACCCGATCGCGTCACACTCAAGGTCCAAAGATGGTGTGCGCACGTGTTTGTGGTCATTTACCATTATAATGAACGGGAGGCGCAGTTTCTACCAAAACGCTCGCTGCAGAAAAACTCCATGTCCTATTTGAAAAAAGTCTGGACCATGAGTGAGGGCACAAACACAGCTAAGATATATCCAAATGGCAAGTTGCTCCTCCTTTCGCTTTTGCCGAGAGAGCAGTGCGTTTGAGCCATTGAATGATGAACAGGAAAAACTTGACTTTATTCTCCTGCCATGGGGGGCGCTCTTTTAAAAAGAAAAAACTCCTTCACAAATGTGTTGATGGCTGGACATTGCATCATCCTAGAAAACATGGAGGCCAGTGAGGACAAAAATAAAAAGTTATAAGACTTTTAAATATGTGGATTTTAGGGTTATCTTTGGCGCCCCCTAGAACCTAAACCGTGGGGTGCAGCGTCATGATTTGAATCACTTTTAATGGCCATGGGGTGTAGATTGGCCTGAGCAAATGTGGTGCCGGTGGAACGAAAGCCTTCGGAGGAATTAGCGAAATTCCAATGTGTGCGAATCTGCAAAAAATGCGAAATAACCCTTTAACCGTACATTTGACAGATACGTGGCCATTGACTTTTTCGAAGATCTTATGTAAATACACGTGTATGTAAAATTTTGTGTCAATACGACAAAACATACAGGCGTAGCACTCAACAATGTGTATTTTCACCTTAGTGGACAAGAAAAAATTGACTTTTTTCTCCTGCCATGGGGGGCGCTCTTTTGCCGAGTAAAAATTCCTTCACAAATGTGTTGATGGCTGGACATTGCATCATCCTAGAAAACTTGGAGGCCAGTGGGGACAAAAATAAAAAGTTCTAAGACTTTTAAATATGTGGATTTTACGGTTATCTTTGGCTCCCCCTAGAACCTAAACCGTGGGGTGCAGCGTCATGATTTGAATAACTTTTAATGGCCATGGGGTGTAGATTGGCCTGAGCAAATGTGGTGCCGGTGGAACGAAAGCCTTCGGAGGAGTTAGCAAAATTCCAATGTGTGCGGATCGGCAAAAAATGCGGAATAACCCTTTAACCGTACATTTGACAGATACGCGCGCATTGACTTTTTCGTAGATCTTATTGAGATACATGTGTGTGTCAATTTTTGTGTCATTTTGCCAAAGCGTACAGGTGTTACACTCAACAATGTGTATTTTCACCTTAGGGGACAAGAAAAAATGGACTTTTTTCTCCTGCCATGGGGGGCGCTCTTTTGGGGAGTAAAAATTCCTTCACAAATGTGTTGATGGCTGGACATTGCATCATCCTAGAAAACTTGGAGGCCAGTGAGGGCAAAAATAAAAAGTTATAAGACTTTTAAATATGTGGATCTTAGGGTTATCTTTGGCGCCCCCTAGAACCTAAACCGTGGGGTGCAGCGTCATGATTTGAATAACTTTTAATGGCCATGGGGTGTAGATTGGCCTGAGCAAATGTGGTGCCGGTGGAACGAAAGCCTTCGGAGGAGTTAGCGAAATTCCAATGTGTGCGGATCGGCAAAAAATGCGAAATAACCCTTTAACCGTACATTTGACAGATACGCCCGCACTGACTTTTTTGTAGATCTTATTGAGATACATGTGTGTGTCAATTTTTGTGTCATTTTGACAAAGCGTACCGGCGTGACAGTGAATAGTGTGAATTTTCACCTTAGGGGGCGCTATGGAGCCATTTTGCATTTTCTTGTTTGGGCGACTTCGGAATATCAAATTTTTCACCAGGCCCGGTCGTCCTGCCAAATTTCATGAGTTTTCGCCAGTGGGAAGTGGGCCATTTTCCAGTTCAAAGGGGAGGAAAAATAATAATAATAACTAGGACCCCGTTGGGGCACTGGCGGGCCCGAGCTGTGTCGCGTCCCCCCCCCAACGCGCTGCCTCCCCGTCCCATTTGTGTCCTCTGGCCATCGCCCTCTCTGGTAACGCCCATCACTGCAAAGACCCTTTTCCTTCATCGGCGTTTGCTGTTCTTCCTGCCAGTGCGTGTTGCTTTCACTTACACTTGCCACAGCCAGCCTCTTGAGTGCCTAGCCTGTTGGATATCACTGTCACCTACTCAGGACAGTCATTACCTTTCTATTAATACTTTGTTTTTTAATTTCACATTAATTTCCATATTGTATAAACAACTGGAAAAAACTTGAGCCCCTGCCCCTGTATAATCATGTGCACGTCTCTGTTCTAGCTGTAAGGTGAATCTTTACTGCTCATGTTCTCCTCAGAAGCAGTCACCTCACTCCCCTCAGGTTACTGTACACATGCACCAACTGCCTGCTTCAGGTTTGGATGGAGCTTCATGGTTGTCTTTTGGAGAAATGACCAGTCAAGTTGTGTTTGAAATTTGATTTTTTTCAGGGGCAAAAGGAGCCTCTGCATTCTTGTCAAATATGTAAATAGCATGTTTTTGCAGGTGCTAAAAACCAGACTCTGAGTGTGTGTGTGTGCGTGTGTGTGTGTGTCTGTGTGTGTGTGTGTGTGTGTGCGTTCAAGTCACATGACATATTTAACCGGATGTAGCTGCAAGACGGAGCCTCGTTGACTCCGTTTCAACTTATCTCAAAAGTGAGGACCTCAACCTATATACCAGTTTTTAAATTGTGTTGATAGGCCAAATAAAACCAGAGTTATGATAAATTATGTCCGCGATACTTTTTTTCTGCTTATTTTGATCACGTTCGGCGCTCGATCGCGCTGTATGAGACAGGAAAACATAGCATGCAGACATTAGCGACAGGTCTTACAGGCGGAAAAGGCTTGCCAAAGGAAAAAAAAACACACCACAACATCTCTCCTATTGGTGGAAAACTTCACCACAACAACCAATCCAAAATTATATGGTGACTGATTGACAAGGGGCAGGCGCTTACGTTCTTCCTGCAATATGAGAAGGGAGGGAGGGACTCTCAGCAGGGATGCAGTCTGGGACACGTAGTTGCAAACCTAGCGACTTTGTTGTTAGATTCAATGACTTTTCAGACCCCCTAACGACTTTTTTTTAGAAAGAAAGTGACTTTTATCGACTTCTTCTGGAGTTTAGAGACTCTGACATGAAGCAGGCTTTCCTTACTGAGGAGTTAGCAATGCTGCTAAGGGTGCAGAGCCACACATGCGCTCCGAGCTCTGCATGGGAGACTGAAGCTGACAGAGCTGCAGCAGTTAGCAGGTTTCACCCTCAGAGACCACCAGGGGTTCATGTTGAGGCATTTTCAGTTTTTTTTTTTTTTTGTGCCATAGACACTGTCAGCACAATCTGCAGTTACACTAACAAAAATGCTGCAAAAAACAAAGAATTATGGAAAAATTACACATGGACTAACATAGAGGAGGATCTACACAAGTTTTTTACATCATGTTTTACATCATGCATCAATTACATCATGTTTTTTTGTAGTGGCATAAATAAAAAGTGACATTTGTGAGACTATACAGTGTTTTGTAAATAATTTTACAAAGAACACCTGGGCCATTGCCTGCATTTTGATGTAAATAGAGGTAAATTACTATGTTCTTTGTTAAAAATTTGCATATGTTTTGAAGTTTACAATTTTTATTTGAAGTTTAAGTTTTAAAAACAGTTCATCACACATATTTGTGGTTTTCACAGTAAAAACGTTACTTTTTTCCACTCGGATTTTATGTTTTGTGTGTGAATTTGGGTCCAATGTGTAAATATAGTATGTCAAAATGATAAAATAACTGTAAATTGACACAGGTGAGGTTGTGCTGAAAAAAATGATACCAGGCAAGGCAAGGTAAAAATTTTGTAAGAGGAAATATAAAGGTAAAATCTAAAGTAGTCAAAAACGGCCAATAGTGACTCACAGACTCCACAGACAAGTCCCTTTGGCGCCACTCAGTGGGCAAAACTACTTTGTCTACTGTAATGTATATTTGGGTCATCTTTGGCGCCCCCTAAAACGTAAACCGTGGGGTGCAGCGTCATGATTTTTACAACTTTGAATGGCCATGGAGTGTAGATTGGCCTGAGCAAATTTGGTGTCAGTGGGACGAAAGCCTTAGGAGGAGTTAGCGAAATTCCAATGTGTGCGAATCGGCAAAAAATGCAAAATAGCCCTTTTACCGTACATTATACAGATACGCGCTCTTTGACTTTTTCGTAGATCTAATTGAGATACACATGATTGTCAATTTTTGTGTCATTTTGCCAAAGCGTACAGGCGTGACAGTCAACAATGTGTATTTTCACCTTAGGGGACAAGAAAAAATGGACTTTTTTCTCCTGCCATGGGGGGGCGCTCTTTTGGGGAGTAAAAATTCCTTCACAAATGTGTTGATGGCTGGACATTGCATCATCCTAGAAAACTTGGAGGCCAGTGAGGACAAAAATAAAAAGTTATAAGACTTTTAAAAATGTGGATTTTTGGGTTATCTTTGGCGCCCCCTAGAACGTAAACCGTGGGGTGCAGCGTCATGATTTGAATAACTTTTAATGGCCATGGGGTGCAGATTGGCCTGATCAAATGTGGTGCCGGTGGAACGAAAGCCTTCGGAGGAGTTAGCGAAATTCCAATTTGTGCGAATCGGCAAAAAATGCCGAACAACCCTTTAACCGTACATTTGACAGATACGCGCGCATGGACTTTTTTGTAGATCTTATTGAGATACATGTGTGTGTCAATTTTTGTGTCATTTTGACAAAGCGTACAGGCGTGACACTCAACAATGTGTATTTTCACCTTAGGGGACAAGAAAAAATGGACTTTTTCTCCTGCCATGGGGGGGCGCTCTTTTGGGGAGTAAAAATTCCTTCACAAATGTGTTGATGGCTGGACATTGCATCATCCTAGAAAACTTGGAGGCCAGTGAGGGCAAAAATAAAAAGTTATAAGACTTTTAAATATGTGGATTTTAGGGTTATCTTTGGCGCCCCCTAGAACCTAAACCGTGGGGTGCAGCGTCATGATTTGAATAACTTTTAATGGCCATGGGGTGTAGATTGGCCTGAGCAAATGTGGTGCCGGTGGAACGAAAGCCTTCGGAGGAGTTAGCGAAATTCCAATGTGTGCGGATCGGCAAAAAATGCGAAATAGCCCTTTAACCGTACATTTGACAGATACGCCCGCACTGACTTTTTTGTAGATCTTATTGAGATACATGTGTGTGTCAATTTTTGTGTCATTTTGACAAAGCGTACAGGCGTGACAGTCAACAATGTGTATTTTCACCTTAGGGGACAAGAAAAAATGGACTTTTTTCTCCTGCCATGGGGGGGCGCTCTTTTGGGGAGTAAAAATTCCTTCACAAATGTGTTGATGGCTGGACATTGCATCATCCTAGAAAACTTGGAGGCCAGTGAGGACAAAAATAAAAAGTTATAAGACTTTTAAAAATGTGGATTTTTGGGTTATCTTTGGCGCCCCCTAGAACGTAAACCGTGGGGTGCAGCGTCATGATTTGAATAACTTTTAATGGCCATGGGGTGCAGATTGGCCTGATCAAATGTGGTGCCGGTGGAACGAAAGCCTTCGGAGGAGTTAGCGAAATTCCAATTTGTGCGAATCGGCAAAAAATGCCGAACAACCCTTTAACCGTACATTTGACAGATACGCGCGCATGGACTTTTTTGTAGATCTTATTGAGATACATGTGTGTGTCAATTTTTGTGTCATTTTGACAAAGCGTACAGGCGTGACACTCAACAATGTGTATTTTCACCTTAGGGGACAAGAAAAAATGGACTTTTTTCTCCTGCCATGGGGGGGCGCTCTTTTGGGGAGTAAAAATTCCTTCACAAATGTGTTGATGGCTGGACATTGCATCATCCTAGAAAACTTGGAGGCCAGTGAGGGCAAAAATAAAAAGTTATAAGACTTTTAAATATGTGGATTTTAGGGTTATCTTTGGCGCCCCCTAGAACCTAAACCGTGGGGTGCAGCGTCATGATTTGAATAACTTTTAATGGCCATGGGGTGTAGATTGGCCTGAGCAAATGTGGTGCCGGTGGAACGAAAGCCTTCGGAGGAGTTAGCGAAATTCCAATGTGTGCGGATCGGCAAAAAATGCGAAATAGCCCTTTAACCGTACATTTGACAGATACGCCCGCACTGACTTTTTTGTAGATCTTATTGAGATACATGTGTGTGTCAATTTTTGTGTCATTTTGACAAAGCGTACAGGCGTGACAGTCAATAGTGTGGATTTTCACCTTAGGGGGCGCTATGGAGCCATTTTGCATTTTCTTGTTTGGGCGACTTCGGAATATCAAATTTTTCACCAGGCCCGGTCGTCCTGCCAAATTTCATGAGTTTTCGCCAGTGGGAAGTGGGCCATTTTCCAGTTCAAAGGGGAGGAAAAAGAAAAAAGAAACAAAGAAAAACCACTTGGGGAATAATAGGGCTCTCGCAGCTGCTTAGCAGCTACGCTCGGGCCCTAATAACAAAAGAAGGAAACTACAGGAACAAGAGGGCTCTCGCAGCTGCTTAGCAGCTACGCTCGGGCCCTAAAGAAACAAAGAAAAACCACTTGGGGAATAATAGGGCTCTCGCAGCTGCTTAGCAGCTACGCTCGGGCCCTAAAAAGAAAGAAAGAAACAAAGAAAAACCACTTGGGGAATAATAGGGCCTACGCCCGGCTGCTCTGCAGCTGGCTCGGGCCCTAAAGAAGGAAACTACAGGAACAAGAGGGCTCTCGCAGCTGCTTAGCAGCTACGCTCGGGCCCTAACTAGGGCCCCGTTGGGGCACTGGCGGGCCCGAGCTGTGTCACGCCGCCCCCAACACGACCGCCTCTCCCTCCCGATCGCGTCACACTCAAGGTTCAACGATGGTGTGCGCACTTGTCTGTGGTCATTTACCATTATAATGAATGGGAGGCGCAGTTTCTACCAAAACACTCGCTGCAGACAAACTACATGTCCTATTTGAAAAAAGTCTGGACCATGAGTGAGGGCACAAACACAGCTAGGATATATCCAAATGGCAAGTTGCTCCTCCTTTCGTTTTTTTCCGAGAGAGCGATGTGTTTGAGCCATTGAGCGATGGGCAGGAAAAACTTGACTTTTTCTCCTGCCATGGGGGGGCACTCTTTTAGGGAGAAAAAATTCCTTCACAAATGTGTTGATGGCTAGACATTGCATCATCCTAGAAAACTTTGAAGCCAGTGAGGACAAAAATGAAAAGTTATAAGACTTTTAAGAATGTGGATTTTGGGTTATCTTTGGCGACCCCTAGAACGTAAACCGTGGGGTGCAGCATCATGATTTGTACAACTTTTAATGGCCATGGGGTGTAGATTGGCCTGGGCAAATTTGGTGCCGGTGGAACGAAAGCTTTAGGAGGAGTTAGCCACATTCCAATGTGTGCGAATCAACCAAAAATGCGAAATAGCCCTTTAACCGTACATTTTGCAGACACGTGCGCATTGACTTTTTCGTAGATCTTATTGAGATTCACGTGATTATCAAATTTTGTTTCAATATGACAAAGCATACAGGCGTGACACTCAACAATGTGTATTTTCACCTTATGGGACAAGAAAAAATGGCCTTTTTTCTCCTGCCATGGGGGGGCGCTCTTTTCGGGAGTAAAAATTCCTTCACAAATGTGTTGATGGCTGGACATTGCATCATCCTAGAAAACTTGGAGGCCAGTGAGGGCAAAAATAAAAAGTTACTAGGACCCCGTTGGGGCACTGGCGGGCCCGAGCTGTGTCGCGTCCCCCCCCCAACGCGCTGCCTCCCCGTCCCATTTGTGTCCTCTGGCCATCGCCCTCTCTGGTAACGCCCATCACTGCAAAGACCCTTTTCCTTCATCGGCGTTTGCTGTTCTTCCTGCCAGTGCATGTTGCTTTCACTTACACTTGCCACAGCCAGCCTCGTGAGTGCCTAGCCTATTGGATATCACTGTCACCTACACAGGACAGTCATTACCTTTCTATTAATACTTTGTTTTTTAATTTCACATTAAATTCCATATTGTATAAACGACTGGAAAAAACTTGAGCCCCTGCCCCTGTATAATCATGTGCACGTCTCTGTTCTAGCTCTAAGGTGAATCTTCACTGCTCATGTTCTCCTCAGAAGCAGTCACCTCACTCCCCTCAGGTTACTGTACACATGCACCAACTGCCTGCTTCAGGTTTGGATGGAGCTTCATGGTTGTCTTTTGGAGAAATGACCAGTCAAGTTGTGTTTGAAATTTGATTTTTTTCAGGGGCAAAAGGAGCCTCTGCATTCTTGTCAGATATGTAAATAGCATGTTTTTGCAGGTGCTAAAAACCAGACTCTGAGTGTGTGTGTGTGTGTGTGCGTGTGTGTGTGTCTGTGTGTGTGTGTGTGTGTGTGTGTGTGTGTGTGTGTGTGTGTGCGTTCAAGTCACATGACATATTTAACCGGATGTAGCTGCAAGACGGAGCCTCGTTGACTCTCCGTTTCAATTTATCTCAAAAGTGAGGACCTCAACCTATATACCAGTTTTTAAATTGTGTTGATAGGCCAAATAAAACCAGAGTTATGATAAATTATGTCCACGATTCTTGTTTTCTGCTTATTTTGATCACGTTCGGCGCTCGATCGCGCTGTATGAGACAGGAAAACATAGCATGCAGACATTAGCGACAGGTCTTACAGGCGGAAAAGGCTTGCCAAAGGAAAAAAAAAAACACACCACAACATCTCTCCTATTGGTGGAAAACTTCACCACAACAACCAATCCAAAATTATATGGTGACTGATTGACAAGGGGCGGGAACTTGCGTTCTTCCTGCAATATGAGAAGGGAGGGAGGGACTCTCAGCAGGGATGCAGTCTGGGACACGTAGTTGCAAACCTAGCGACTTTGTTGTTAGATTCAATGACTTTTCAGACCCCCTAATGACTTTTTTTTAGAAAGAAAGTGACTTTTATCGACTTCTTCTGGAGTTTAGAGACTCTGACATGAAGCAGGCTTTCCTTACTGAGGAGTTAGCAACGCTGCTAAGGGTGCAGAGCCACACATGCGCTCCGAGCTCTGCATGGGAGACTGAAGCTGACAGAGCTGCAGCAGTTAGCAGGTTTCACCCTCAGAGACCACCAGGGGTTCATGTTGAGGCATTTTCAGTTTTTTTTTTTTTTTTTTGCCATAGACACTGTCAGCACAATCTGCAGTTACACTAACAAAAATGCTGCAAAAAACAAAGAATTATGGAAAAATTACACATGGACTAACATAGAGGAGGATCTACACAAGTTTTTTACATCATGTTTTACATCATGCATCATTTACATCATGTTTTTTTGTAGTGGCATAAATAAAAAGTGACATTTGTGAGACTATACAGTGTTTTGTAAATAATTTTACAAAGAACACCTGGGCCATTGCCTGCATTTTGATGTCAATAGAGGTAAATTACTATGTTCTTTGTTAAAAATTTGCATATGTTTTGAAGTTTACAATTTTTATTTGAAGTTTAAGTTTAAAAACAGTTCATCACACATATTTGTGGTTTTCACAGTAAAAACGTTACTTTTTTCCACTCGGATTTTATGTTTTGTGTGTGAATTTGGGTCCAATGTGTAAATATAGTATGTCAAAATGATAAAATAACTGTAAATTGACACAGGTGAGGTTGTGCTGAAAAAAATGATACCAGGCAAGGCAAGGTAAAAATTTTGTGAGAGGAAATATAAAGGTAAAATCTAAAGTAGTCAAAAACGGCCAATAGTGACTCACAGACTCCACAGACAAGTCCCTTTGGCGCCACTCAGTGGGCAAAACTACTTTGTCTACTGTAATGTATATTTGGGTCATCTTTGGCGCCCCCTAAAACGTAAACCGTGGGGTGCAGCGTCATGATTTTTACAACTTTGAATGGCCATGGAGTGTAGATTGGCCTGAGCAAATTTGGTGTCAGTGGGACGAAAGCCTTAGGAGGAGTTAGCAAAATTCCAATGTGTGCGAATCGGCAAAAAATGCAAAATAGCCCTTTTACCGTACATTATACAGATACGCGCTCTTTGACTTTTTCGTAGATCTAATTGAGATACACATGATTGTCAATTTTTGTGTCATTTTGCCAAAGCGTACAGGCGTGACAGTCAACAATGTGTATTTTCACCTTAGGGGACAAGAAAAAATGGACTTTTTTCTCCTGCCATGGGGGGCGCTCTTTTGGGGAGTAAAAATTCCTTCACAAATGTGTTGATGGCTGGACATTGCATCATCCTAGAAAACTTGGAGGCCAGTGAGGACAAAAATAAAAAGTTATAAGACTTTTAAAAATGTGGATTTTTGGGTTATCTTTGGCGCCCCCTAGAACCTAAACCGTGGGGTGCAGCGTCATGATTTGAATAACTTTTAATGGCCATGGGGTGTAATTTGGCCTGAGCAAATGTGGTGCCGGTGGAACGAAAGCCTTCGGAGGAGTTAGCGAAATTCCAATGTGTGCGAATCGGCAAAAAAATGCGGAATAACCCTTTAACCGTACATTAGACAGATACGCGCGCATGGACTTTTTTGTAGATCTTATTGAGATACATGTGTGTGTCAATTTTTGTGTCATTTTGACAAAGCGTATAGGCGTGACACTCAACAATGTGTATTTTCACCTTAGGGGACAAGAAAAAATGGACTTTTTTCTCCTGCCATGGGGGGGCGCTCTTTTGGGGAGTAAAAATTCCTTCACAAATGTGTTGATGGCTGGACATTGCATCATCCTAGAAAACTTGGAGGCCAGTGAGGGCAAAAATAAAAAGTTATAAGACTTTTAAGAATGTGGATTTTTGGGTTATCTTTGGCGCCCCCTAGAACCTAAACAGTGGGGTGCAGCGTCATGATTTGAATAACTTTTAATGGCCATGGGGTGTAGATTGGCCTGAGCAAATGTGGTGCCGGTGGAACGAAAGCCTTCGGAGGAGTTAGCGAAATTCCAATGTGTGCGGATCGGCAAAAAATGCGAAATAACCCTTTAACCGTACATTTGACAGATACGCCCGCACTGACTTTTTTGTAGATCTTATTGAGATACATGTGTGTGTCAATTTTTGTGTCATTTTGACAAAGCGTACAGGCGTGACAGTCAATAGTGTGAATTTTCACCTTAGGGGGCGCTATGGAGCCATTTTGCATTTTCTTGTTTGGGCGACTTCGGAATATCAAATTTTTCACCAGGCCCGGTCGTCCTGCCAAATTTCCTGAGTTTTCGCCAGTGGGAAGTGGGCCATTTTCCAGTTCAAAGGGGAGGAAAAAGAAGAAAGAAAGAAACAAAGACTAGGACCCCGTTGGGGCACTGGCGGGCCCGAGCTGTGTCGCATCCCCCCCCCAACGCGCTGCCTCCCCGTCCCATTTGTGTCCTCTGGCCATCGCCCTCTCTGGTAACGCCCATCACTGCAAAGACCCTTTTCCTTCATCGGCGTTTGCTGTTCTTCCTTCCAGTGCGTGTTGCTTTCACTTACACTTGCCACAGCCAGCCTCGTGAGTGCCTAGCCTATTGGATATCACTGTCACCTACACAGGACAGTCATTACCTTTCTATTAATACTTTGTTTTTTAATTTCACATTAATTTCCATATTGTATAAACAACTGGAAAAAACTTGAGCCCCTGCCCCTGTATAATCATGTGCACGTCTCTGTTCTAGCTGTAAGGTGAATCTTCACTGCTCATGTTCTCCTCAGAAGCAGTCACCTCACTCCCCTCAGGTTACTGTACACATGCACCAACTGCCTGCTTCAGGTTTGGATGGAGCTTCATGGTTGTCTTTTGGAGAAATGACCAGTCAAGTTGTGTTTGAAATTTGATTTTTTTCAGGGGCAAAAGGAGCCTCTGCATTCTTGTCAAATATGTAAATAGCATGTTTTTGCAGGTGCTAAAAACCAGACTCTGAGTGTGTGTGTGTGTGTGTGTGTGTGTGTGTGTGTGTGTGTGTGTGTGTGTGTGTGTGTGTGTGTGCGTTCAAGTCACATGACATATTTAACCGGATGTAGCTGCAAGACGGAGCCTCGTTGACTCTCCGTTTCAACTTATCTCAAAAGTGAGGACCTCAACCTATATACCAGTTTTTAAATTGTGTTGATAGGCCAAATAAAACCAGAGTTATGATAAATTATGTCCGCGATACTTGTTTTCTGCTTATTTTGATCACGTTCGGCGCTCGATCGCGCTGTATGAGACAGGAAAACATAGCATGCAGACATTAGCGACAGGTCTTACAGGCGGAAAAGGCTTGCCAAAGGAAAAAAAAAACACACCACAACATCTCTCCTATTGGTGGAAAACTTCACCACAACAACCAATCCAAAATTATATGGTGACTGATTGACAAGGGGCGGGCGCTTACGTTCTTCCTGCAATATGAGAAGGGAGGGAGGGACTCTCAGCAGGGATGCAGTCTGGGACACGTAGTTGCAAACCTAGCGACTTTGTTGTTAGATTCAATGACTTTTCAGACCCCCTAACGACTTTTTTTAGAAAGAAAGTTACTTTTATCGACTTAATCTGGAGTTTAGAGACTCTGACATGAAGCAGGCTTTCCTTACTGAGGAGTTAGCAACGCTGCTAAGGGTGCAGAGCCACACATGCGCTCCGAGCTCTGCATGGGAGACTGAAGCTGACAGAGCTGCAGCAGTTAGCAGGTTTCACCCTCAGAGACCACCAGGGGTTCATGTTGAGGCATTTTCAGTTTTTTTTTTTTTTTTTGCCATAGACACTGTCAGCACAATCTGCAGTTACACTAACAAAAATGCTGCAAAAAACAAAGAATTATGGAAAAATTACACATGGACTAACATAGAGGAGGATCTACACAAGTTTTTTACATCATGTTTTACATCATGCATCATTTACATCATGTTTTTTTGTAGTGGCATAAATAAAAAGTGACATTTGTGAGACTATACAGTGTTTTGTAAATAATTTTACAAAGAACACCTGGGCCATTGCCTGCATTTTGATGTAAATAGAGGTAAATTACTATGTTCTTTGTTAAAAATTTGCATATGTTTTGAAGTTTACAATTTTTATTTGAAGTTTAAGTTTTAAAAACAGTTCATCACACATATTTGTGGTTTTCACAGTAAAAACGTTACTTTTTTCCACTCGGATTTTATGTTTTGTGTGTGAATTTGGGTCCAATGTGTAAATATAGTATGTCAAAATGATAAAATAACTGTAAATTGACACAGGTGAGGTTGTGCTGAAAAAAATGATACCAGGCAAGGCAAGGTAAAAATTTTGTAAGAGGAAATATAAAGGTAAAATCTAAAGTAGTCAAAAACGGCCAATAGTGACTCACAGACTCCACAGACAAGTCCCTTTGGCGCCACTCAGTGGGCAAAACTACTTTGTCTACTGTAATGTATATTTGGGTCATCTTTGGCGCCCCCTAAAACGTAAACCGTGGGGTGCAGCGTCATGATTTTTACAACTTTGAATGGCCATGGAGTGTAGATTGGTCTGAGCAAATTTGGTGTCAGTGGGACGAAAGCCTTAGGAGGAGTTAGCGAAATTCCAATGTGTGCGAATCGGCAAAAAATTCAAAATAGCCCTTTTACCGTACATTATACAGATACACGCTCTTTGACTTTTTCGTAGATCTAATTGAGATACACATGACTGTCAATTTTTGTGTCAATATGACAAAGCGTACAGGCGTGACACTCAACAATGTGTATTTTCACCTTAGGCGACAAGAAAAAATTGACTTTTTTCTCCTGCCATGGGGGGGCGCTCTTTTGGGGAGTAAAAATTTCTTCACAAATGTGTTGATGGCTGGACATTGCATCATCCTAAAAAACTTGGAGGCCAGTGAGGACAAAAATAAAAAGTTATAAGACTTTTAAATATGTGGATT